AAAAAGAAGAAAAATTGTAATAAAATAAAAAAAATCGAATTTCACGAATACTTGACTTCCTAGACTAGACACTGTATCGAATGTAAGGTAATTTGACAGATCGAAAAGTGATTATTATAACCTCCACATGTACAATTTTAACTTTTTATGTAGATTGTTCATAATATGTCACCACCGATACAATTTAGATTATTTAGGACGTGGGCTTCTACCCTGTCTATAGGGACAAACCAGGGCTTCGTGGAAGGAAGCAGAAAGACATAGATACTTGATACAAATTCTTTCCACTCTGGAATCGAAATTGGGTCTTGTGATGGCGATTGCGAAGGGCTTAACCGTTACACCAGAGACGCCTGACTTACTTCAAATACATCTGTCCATTTGTCGATAAAGAAGATCATCAGAACCAGTAGATTTTGTGGGAGGCGTCAGTAGCCTAGTGGTTAGGCTACCGGACTCGTAATCGTGAGATTGCGGGTTCGGGAGTTCGAGCCTCAGCTCGGTCCGACGTTGTGTCCTTGGGAAAGACACTTTACACGAACTTCACACTTGGCTCGGTCCTATCGGAGACGGACGTTAAACGAGGAGGTCCCGCCCCTTAAATAACCTAATAGTGTTGATAGGGGCGTTACAGCCATACCATTTCACCATTTGTAGATTTTGTGAAACTGTCAGAGCGACGGCAGAGAGACAATTTGAGGCAGAAAAAAAAGGGAATTTAGTGCAGGCGGAAATAAACCTAAGCATATTTGGACATTGGGTAGTTTTCCTTTAGGATTTTAAGACTACGAGGTGGGGAAAGTAGAACATTTGAGATCTCTGCGGAATATCTTAAAGATGTTCGACGTCTTTTACTTTATCTTCATTTATTTATTTTAAATCTTTTTTTTATTATTATTGATTTTGTCATATTGCACTTGGTAGATTTAGGAATCTATTTACATTTTCTATAACATCTGTGCCTGTTAGTAAGATAATTTATTCTGAACATTCCTTTTCGTTCTGTAGCACAGATCAAAACGTATCTGTGTCTGTAAAGTAACGACTAGAGACTTCGCAGTAGTTGCACACAAGAGTCGTGAGCTCGATTCCGTTGTAGAGGAATATATTTGTTTGTTTTGCTTTATTCTGTTTTAT